AATAATAATAGTAATAATAAAAATAATTATACACATAACAACCAAGAACAAATTTGATTGCTTTGTTTGTGCTTTATTTTACACTATAAAATTGTTAATTCGCAAAACAAAGGTAACTTAAACACAGATACAGTGTGGTCCCTTCATGATGAATTCTCATTTCTAACAAAATATATTATATTTTCATACTTCTCCCTCTTTTGCATTGCCTCTTGCGCAGAAATTGAGGCTGAAAAATGTGAATATGTTATTGCTTGCACTGTATGCTTCCGCGGAAGCTGAGAATGTTTCTGGGTGTTCTCAGAGGGTCTGCTGGGGTAATAATAGTTGTAAAGCGCCTAGAGCAAACTCTTGAGCATGGATATGCGCTATATAAATGCAATTATTATTATTATAAGAAAGTTACGTTTAGGAACCAAGGGAAATTACCCATGAAATTAAAATCCGCAAAAGGGCATCTTTTGTAATTTCCCTTTTATTCACTACAGGAAAGGGCGCCAGAAATCTTATATTTTGAAAGAGGCAGTGAATCCACAAAATGTTTTTTTTTATGATAATCTAATTTTTAGGCACAAAGGTATTTAAAAAACAAGTTTGAAAAATGAATAAATGCAGAATAGTGATGATCATTGAATGATGTGATTGAATCAGAATGACGCCACAATGTAAATTGCAACAGACATGATGTAGTGTGAAAAGAGACATTGAATTGATGACTTTCGTCCATGACTAGTGCTTATTTTAGTTTGGCGTTTTAGAGTCATGCTAGATATTGAAAATTAAACATTAGTTGTGGAATTTTAAAAATTGCCAACATTGGGGGCGTAATATACATTTAAATGCACCTCTATTTACAGTTCATGTGGAAATTAGTCTGAGATTCATCAGACGAATCACCATCCTGTTCTCTTGAAAAGAATAGGGATTACCACTGATCAAATTGAATACGTTTATCTGTGGTTCCCTTTTTGTTATAGGTAAAGAAAAAGAGAAACATAGTTTACCCGAAAGAAGCACAATACCATTGTGATAGTGAAGAAGAACGAGGGTGATAAAAAAGGCATGCTCTGGAAGTAAGGCAACATAATATTTTCGGAGAGCCGGGAAACACCGACTGACCTTTCAAAACCAGGGGGAAAAATCATCCGGGGAACAGCAACTGTGCCAAGAGAATGCCTAGTCGTGATGGTATTGACTATGGTATCGAAACACCTGCGCCCCTCCAAAAATCTCGTTTATAAACTTTTACATGTATTTATAACTACGTTCTATCGTCAACCTGATATCAAATTTGGAACCAGCGTGTCAACATTAACAAATTAACTCGCGCACGGCTCTCTTTCTAGCTGGATTTATGTAGAAGATCAAAACAAAGACGTGGTAAAGTTCCCTACTGCAACTATTTGTTGACGTGGTTGTTCATAAACTCCTCAGAGTTGCCAAAAGGAACTTTCTTCAGTAGCTGTCAGTTCATTTGTTGAAAAGTGAGCCCGACAGTGCCTGTATAAAAAAGGCAAACAGATAAAGATTATAGACTGGAAATACTATCTGAACTTTTCGCCATGTGAGCACCCACACGCCCTTGGTACAGCCAGTCTGTCTATCTGCCACCAGTATGCAATTAAAATCTCTTCAGTATGTGCATGTAGGGCATAGTGCAACCACCGACATTTTGCTATCTTAAGTATTGCAATTAAGGCTTATCCCAATCAGTAGCAAATAATCACCTTGAAGAAGACAGCAGCATTGAAAACTGAAACTATTGTTTTTCTTTTTTTAAAAATCTACCCTGGAACAACTTAGATTTACCTAAAAAATCTCGGAAACCAAGTTTTTCAACAAACATTCGTAAAAAATGTTCCTACCAGCTTCAATTTATATAAAAGTGCATACGAAAAAGGAAGTGGACTATAAGTCAACAGACAACCAAAGGGGATATGCTCTGTTAGTCTTTTTCGGGCTTTTTCGCTTTATTTACTCATGCCTGGTTGCACTTAGGGCAGTTTACTCCTGAATCTATTTTAAAAACATCTTAAATTATTTTTAAAAAACTAAGATTGCAACATGTAGTGTTTTCAAATCTGAAAAAGAACAGACAAGTGCCAGTTCTAACTGGTCTGGCAGTAGGGTGCGTTCCTTTTGGACCTTTTTTAAAAACTTTTTTTCTTCCGCTTGTACCCTGGGGTGTCGCGGGGAGACACAGGTGTCTGTCTGCAGCAAGTCGTGTGGCCTGTAGGAGGGACATCCCATGATCTTTAAGGGTGTCTGCCACAGATTCACTCCATCGTCGCCTTGGTCTTCCTCTGGCTCTCCATCCAGAATATTTAATGTTGTATGTTCTCAGAGCTGGATGGTTTGAGGGCATCCGCGTGAGGTGTCCGAACCACTTGACCTTTTGTTTTTCAATGTGTGGTAGGACTGGTGTTGCTCCCACGGTGTCCCTTATGACTTCATTTTTAATTTTGTCTCTTCTTGTTTTGTTGACCGCTCTTCTTAAGCATTTCATCTCGCATGTGACCAGTTTCCTCTCTAGGGCTTTTGTTAGAGTCCATGTCTGGCACTGATATGTGAGCGTTGGAAGGAAAATGTCGTTGATGAGCTTCGCCTTGGTGCTCATGGGGATATTGGGATGTTTCAGGAGAGGGCCCAGTTGGTAGCTGACTGCGTTGGCTCTCTGGCATCTAGTCTCTATCTCTCGATCTAATTTTCCATTTTCTGTGAAAATGCTGCCCAAGTATTTGAATTCTCTGCTTTGTTTTAGTTGGGATCCATTGATGTTGATATCCACTTTACCTGGTCTCCTGCTAATTGTCATGACTTCGGTCTTGCTTATACTGATCTTCATGTCATATTTTTAGCAGCTCGCCTTTAGTTGGTTTATATGCTCTTGTAGCCGAGTCTTGTTGTTAATCATTGCCAGGTCAACTGCAAACATGAGTTCGTTGAGTGCCTCTGGGTCTGGATTGGCCTCTTTTGTTATCTGGTCCATGTAGATCACGAAGAGGAGAGGGGAGAGATTGCACCCCTGTCTCACTCCGGATGTTACTGGAAACCAGTCCGATGTTCCACTGGTAGTTCGGACAGGGCTTCTGCTGTTGGCATAGATAGCCCTGATGTTGTCTAGCAGTTGTCCCTTGATGTCGAACTGCTCTAAGATCTTCCATAGCTTGTTTCTATTTGGACCAAATTGCGTAATACCAGGTCCCTTTGGACCAGTATAACAGTTAATTTTGTTTTAGCCTTGCAGTAATCGGATGAAAGAGCGATTATAGCTCGTAGCAGCATCGAATACAATGAAAGTGAGAAAAGTTCAGTTCTTCCGAACACACCACGTTTTGAGAATGATTCGCTGTGCCTGTTTTGTGTTTAAAGACGTTGTTTGTGAGCTTTGTGAACTGTCCTAAGAGGGGCTTTTCGTTAACGGGGAGAGTGGGTTGTTGTTGTTTTTTTTGGGGGGCGGGGCTGATTTATGCACTATATATATATATAGCTTCTAGGGTGTTTCGAATAGGTGCATTTATAATACGGACGAACAAAAGTGAGAAGTCGTAAACGCTGGCGCGTCTTACATAGGCCATCCACGTACAGGCCGGGCCATGAGGCCTTGAGGCGCCACCATGTGATATGGATGTTGTTTAGCTATTTACTTTGTTCTAAAGAAGAAAACGAAGAAACGAAAATCTGCAATGTGGTGTAAAAAATTGCTTCTCCGTAGAAAAACACATAAGATGTGTTCTCTCTCTCTCTCTCTCTCTCTCTCTCTCTCTCTCTCTCTCTCTCTCTCTGTCCGTCTCTCTCTCTCTCTGTCTCTCAAACACGCACACACACACACTCTCTCTCCCTCTCTCTCTCTCTCTCTCTCTCTCTCTCTCTCTCTCTTTCTCTCTCTCTCTCTCTCTCACACACACACACACACACGTTTGGTATCAAATGGCAGTAGAATTTGATGGTGATGAAAAATCCGTAAAGTCTTTATCATTTTTAACTCTCCAAGTACTCAATCGGCTAAGTGAACAATAGTTCACGATGCAGGTGCAAGGGATGGTTTTCGGGAATAGATAAAGTTCGTTTTGGGAGAAAAATAAGCGAAGCCAAGTCTGTGGGGGCTGTTCCCCCTGGAAGCGACCTCGTTGAATCCGAGCTTGCTGATTTAAGTTCTGGTTGAATCCGGGTTATTTTTATTGATTTTAAAGAAGAAAAAAAACTGGGAATCTATCTCTTCTCGTTGAATCCGAGTTCTCGTTGAATCCGAGCTCATTAAATCCGAGTTCCACTGTATTTGGGAAGCCGCCTTGAGGCCGGGGATTCCCCCAAATGTTGGCCTGAACGCATGCCTGGTTCAGGCCCAGTTCAGGCCCGGTTCGTGATTTGAAAAAAAAATCCCATACAAAAGTATGAGTAAATATAGTTAATTCGCTTTGAAAGCCATTCCTTTGTCAAAATAAGCCTCTTTTTTTACTTTTTACTTACAGATTGAGACGAAATACATATCTGGTCTAGCTGTATTCGATACTGTAGGCAAATACACCAAGAGAAACTTACAAAGAATATATTATAGTAAAATACTGGTCACTGTTTCCCGGTAACAATGACGCCAGCAGTCGTTGTTTTCCGGCGCATTCAGTATTTGATCTTTCCCGATCACAGGTGGGTGAAAAAGGCAGTAAAATCATCATAGTTAACATTCACTGTCACGAAAACGGCAAAAGCAAAATCCATTTGAAAATTAATATGTGTTTTACAACATCAACGACACTATTTAGATCTTGTAGGAGACGAGATTCGACCCTGCCTATGAGGGCCAACCCGGGCTGAGAGGGGTACAACGAACCTGAAGAAAGACCGCGACATTATATTATAACAAAAAACTTTCTCCACACTGAAATCAAACTCGGGTCACCAGTGTGTGACGGCAAAGTGTTTAACTGCTACACCACAGACTTCAGTACAGCAGCCCTCTATAAAAAAAACTATGAAATAAGTTATCAAATAAAACATACAAAAACAGGTAACAAACTTCAAAATCAACAATAGAAACCATCAAACGCCTTTGTCTCGCCAGAGGAAAAGCTTAGGCGGTGTACCAGTAGGAATCAAGGATTCAAGTAAAAGAGAGCATTCAGAAACAGATAGCAGTTAAAAAAAGTTAAAGTAAATTCAACAATTAATATGATATGTGAGCAGTTAACATCAATGTGTCTACGGTCATACACATACAATACAGGTTGTTTAAAAAAAGAGAACCAATTAAAGGGCAAAAACTCGGCCATCTCAAAATTATTATCAACAAAACTTTGAACAAATAAAATTCAACTAAGGGGACATACAACATGTAAATGTGAAGGACATCTATCTACGTTTTCGACAAGTATCAAGTTTTAAAAAATTCAACAAAAATTGGGTAAAACGCCTGATTTTATTAAACGCGTTCACCTACAAGAAAGTGATCTGCTCGGTCTGGTTTCAGAGCAAGAACTATAAAACCACGGCAGTCACATCAGAAGGATATCTCAACGTGCTGCGAATGTTTTGGGGAAGTTTGGGGAGGAGAATGTGTTCTGATGAAGAGGCCTGGTTTCTGTGGAATGGTGCCTCTCCCCACCGGTCAATGGAATCCCTTGTATGGCTACAAGAAAGGTTTGGGGGACACCTTATAAGCCGACAGTTTACAAATGAATGGATACCACATTCCCCAAGGCCTGAACCGCTTTAGTCACTACCTTTTGATTTTTTTGACAGACAGAGTCTACGGAAACAACCCAAAAACAATCGAAAAATTGAAAAAAGAGGTAAAAAGAATCTACCAGGAAACACGCCTACAGATTATTTCAAATTTCCAGAGGCGTATAGGAGCTTGTGCGGAGAGATTTGGTTAACACCGGCAGATTTAAATAGCCACAACCAGCCCAGGGTTTATTTAGCAATATCAATTTGGTCTAATTTTTATTCTTCAATGCACAAATCATAGTTGAAATAGAACAATGTGGTCGGTTTTTAAAAGTTGCAAAATTTTTGTGTTTCACTTAATTTTAGTATAAATATTTTAATTTAAAACATATATTATTTAAACATAATGTTATTGAAAATTTGGAATTTTCATATTCACGAATGTAACGTCCGGCTGGTTCAATTTTATTTCTGAGAAGTTTATTGCGCAGTGTCTACCCGGACACATCTCTGACGGAGATAGACCAATCAAAATGCTTTGTGTCTCT